GAAGCGCCAGTGTCTCCCCCATTTTTTTGATTCAGGGGCTTAATTTTCCCATTGACCTGGGTTTCACAGTAATGTGTGTGACCTCAAGGGGGAAAATCAAGGTGAAATACCTATGGCTCATAAAATAAACACAAAGTAGCAAGTAATTCAGTCTCTTAAACTTGAGTCATTTCTGAAGTCAGGCCTGAATCTGCAGAGGCCAGCACATTTCACAGTGCTTGGCATCATCAATGTATTTTTACATTGGATGTGTGAACTGAGATGACAAAATTGTAAAGCCCTTGAGTACAAGAGAAGAAGAAGCCTGGGCTAGCTCTCAGTTCTGCTACTTACTGCCTGTATGATCTGCAACAAGTTCTTTTGCTTCTCTGTGCCTGTATCCTCATCTATAAAGTGACAGTAATACTCTCATGATTGTTGTGTGATTAAATATAGTAAATATACATTGGAATAATATTATGGAATAATATTATTATGTAATTATGATATTATTATGGATACTGATCTTCATGATTTGTGAGAACTTCAGGAAAAGTGGTATTATCCTTATTTTTTTATGTATTTTTGACAGTCCTGGGGCTTGAACCCAGGCCCTGGGTGCTATCCCTGAGCATCTTTGTGCTCAAGGCTTTGTGCTCTAACATTTGAGCCACAGCACCACTTCCAGCTTTTTCTTTTTTTCTTTCTTTTTTTCCTTTTTTTTTGGGTCTGGTTGTAGGGCCTGAACTCTGGGCCTGGGCACTGTCCCTCAGCTCTTCAGCTCAAGGCTAACGCTCTACCATTTGAGCCACAGCGCCCCTTCTGGCTTTTTTCTTTTTGCTTATGTGGTGCTGAGGAATCGAACCCAGGGCCTCATGCATGCAAGGCAAGCGCTCTACCACTGAGTCACCTTCCCAGCCCCACTTCCAGCTTTTTCTGAGTAGTTTATTGGAGATAAGTATCTTACAGACTTTCCTGTCTGGCCTAGCTTTGAACTGCAGTTCTCAGACCTCAGTTTTCTGAGTAGCTAGGATTATAGGCCTGAGGCACCAGCCCCTGGCCTTTATCCGAATTTTATATGAAAGGATCAAGAGAAGAGATGGAAACAGGTCAGAGAGGAGGAAGTGGAGCCTTGATCTGCAAACTCTGTTTTGAAAGAGCTGGCAAGGGAAGACTGTTCTATAACACAGTCAAGGCACTTTATCCTTTAGTGGTTGTGTGTGTGTGTGTGTGTGTGTGTGTGTGTGTGTGTGCACACGCACCCATGCTGGTACTTGGGCTTGGTTTTTTCACTCAAGTTTGGTAGCCACATTTGCCCATCCAGCTTTTTGCTGGTTAGTTGGAGATTATTTCAGACTTTCCTGCCCATGTTGGCTTTCAACAGCAAATACTCAGATCTCAGCTGTCTGAATAGCTAGAACTTACAAGCATGAGTGAACAGTGCCTGGTTTCTTTGTTGTTTTTCTGGTGGCATATAAGATCTTTCAGAAATAATTCCCTGACTTTGTGTCCTGGGAAGTCATGTGGAGTCAGAGAAGTGAGAGATTTCTCAAGGCCCTATACTCCCTATACTGCAATGTCATTATCCATTAAGTGATATATACATATATATATATATCAATCAATCTCCTGCCCTAAAGCTACAGGAATAAAAAGGTTATGAGGGAAATTAATCTTAAGAAACTGAAATCATAGAATCAGAATGTACAGTGATGGTTGCCTGAGGCTGGGAGAGAGTAGAGGAAATAAGGACATATTGGTCAAAGGGCCCAGTTTTGCTTATGCAAAGTAAGCACATTTTGGGAGACATAATGTGTAATAGGTGACTATAGTTAATACTGTCCTGTATATTTAGAATTTTCTCAGAGAGAAGATTTTAAATTGCTCTCAACACACACATACAAAACAATTACATGCATACATACACAATGGTGAGAGAGATGTTACTAATGATGGATGTGTTCATTAGCTAATTTTTTGCACTACTTCATAATGTAAAACATACATTAAAGCATCACATACTGTATACCATAAAAGTATTTTTTTTGGTCAGTTGTGGGGCTTGAACTGTGGACCTGGGCGCTGTCCCTGCGCTCCTTCTGCTCAAAGCTAGCACTTATCACTTGAGCCACAGTGCCGCTTCTGGATTTTTCTGTGATTAATTAGAGATAAAAGTCTCAGACTTTCCTGCCAGGGCTGGCTTCAAACCTCAATGCTCAGATCTCAGCCTTTTGAATAGCTAGGATAACAGGTATGAACCACCAGCACCCATCCAGGAGCTGCACTTCTACAGAGTTAAATATTGCTACTTAACAATATTTCAGTGCCAGCTACTCATCTCTGAATTTTGTCTTTTTGTTCTAGGAGCCTTGTTGATACTGTTTATGCCTTGAAGGATGAAGTCAAAGAACTGAAACAGGTAAGAAAATCATCATTTTCATAAATGACAGAACCACTCAGTGTTTCTTACCCACCTGCTGGTAGATGATATCAGGAAAAATCCAAGAGAAAGGCAATGAGGACAGATTGGTATTTTCCTTGTGTCATGGAGGTACCTTTTAAGTGATACTTTTGTCGGTCGTGGGGCCTGAACTCTGGGCCGGGGCACTGTCCCTCAGCTCTTCAGCTCAAGGCTAGCACTCTACCAATTATGCCACAGTGCCACTTCCGGCTTTTTTTTCTGCTTATGTGGTGCTGAGGAATCGAACTCAGGGCCTCATGCATGCAAGGCAACCACTCTACCAGTGACCCACCTCCCCAGCCCCCCTTTTATTGATTTTTATCATATGACTTTGAGTTTAAAATTTCTAAGGCTTGGGCCTGGGAAGGTGGCTCAGCGGTAGAGCACTTGCCTTGCATGCATGAGGCCCCTGGGTTCGATTCCTCAGCACCACATAAGCAAAAAGAAAAAAGCCGGAAGTGGTGCTGTGGCTCAAGTGGTAGAGTCCTAGCCTTGAGCTGAAGAGCTGAGGGACAGCACCCAAGCCCAGAGTTCAGGCCCCACGATCAGACCCCCCCCCCAAAAAAAATTCTAAGACTTGCTACTCAGCAGTTTGTAATAGGGTCCAAACTGTGTTTTGACTTTCCCCTGTCTCCAGCGTCTATAGGCCAAAGGTAGGAAAAGCAAGGCATTTATGAGCCTGTAACTCTAAGTCATGGTTTATGGATCCACTGGAGATGAGGTCTTAGTGTTCCAAGATGCCCACTCTGCGTGAATGCAAAGACTGTGTATGTGGTGATGCGGAACAGGATGGACAGTGGTGGGAGATCAAGCAGTCTCCAGTATGGGGACTGTGGGTTCTTAAACCCAGGTAGGCCACTTGAGGTTATGGAAAAGAGAGTGAATGTAAAGGAAGACACATTGTACAGTTGGCACCTGTGGGAGATAGCAAGTATTAAAGACAAACCTTCCCTGGATATCATAGTTGTATGGTGGTATTCTTCACAGAGATCAGGAAGTATAGGGGGAGATTTAGAGATGATGGAAGAGATGCTGAGTTTACTTTAGGATTTCATGAGTTTGGGGTGCATAATTATAAGCTGTCTAGATGGAGCCAGGCAGCTCCCATTGGGATTGGTGGGGCCTGATGCTCAGGAGATGACATCAGTACTAGAGATATTTGGAAATCCCATCAATAGACCCTTGTATTGAAAGAGAAGAGATAAGTGGAAGGACTGTGGAATGAGAAGAGGGCCAAGGCATGCCCTGCTCTAAGGAAGGCTCACATTTCACAGAAGAAGCCAATAGCTGGTCAGAGTCAGGCAAGACAATCAAGTGGCTGACTTGCTTTCAAACTGGTTTAAAGGGAGGGAAGTGTAGTTAGCAGTGAAGGGGACCACGAGGTGAAGCAGGAAGTGATCGCATCTTTTCCATCCTAGGAGAATAAAAGAATGAAGCAATGCCTGGAGGAAGAACTCAAGTCAAGAAAGGACCTAGAAAAGTTGGTTCGGAGACTGTTAAAGCAAACAGATGAGTGCATTCGAGCTGAATCCAGCAGCAAGACCTCTGTTCTTCCATAACCAACACTGTACTGCTGGGCAGTGTGCCTTCAGCTCATCTTGAAATGTCCAGCTGAACAATCGGACTCAGTTTGCTCACTTATTTGGCTTTAGTTGTTTTTTTTTTTGTTGTTGTTTGACTCTCTCACCCACCCCCATATGTGAGTGTGTGTGTGTGCATACATGTACACATGTGTGTTTGCTTGGATGTTTGTTGTTATTTGGTTGGTCACTCTTTTTTTTTTTCAACAAGGTTAAAGCAGAAAGTGGTGGTTGAAGAAGTCCCAGAATCTTCGCCATTCACTTAGAGCAGGAAAGCCAATGTTTTTAGATGGCTTTCATTTCATAGGGTTTTGTTTTTGTTGTTGTTTTGTATTTTTCCCTTGGTCAAGCTTGTTGGGCTGACTGTTGTCACAAAGCAGCTGGCTATGGTATATGAAACATGAACCCAAGTTTCCCTCAGTGCTTTCCTGTACCTGGCAGCCCTTCAGCCCTTCATTCAGTACCTAATTGATTCAAGACAAAACTTCCTGAACTATGACTAGTGTAGGGGACAGACTAATACCTTTGTCAAATGATCCACATACTCTACTCTAGATTGTCACACACCACCCATCAGTGACACTTCCAAGAGAAATCGCTGCCCTGTGTTGCCTATTAGGACTCAGAGAAGTGTAGTCTCCTTATTCTATTTGTGCAAATGTACATTTCACCTCACTGGGGCAGAAGCTCTGGCCATCAGCACCGAACCCAAATCCATCAGCTAATTGCATTGGGCCATCTTCCCCTTCAATAGCAGAACTGGGCAGCCCTTCCCGGTGCATGATAGGTTTTTAACCCCTTGCCTAACGTTTTCTATTTCCCCAGTACTTTTAGCCAGCCATACCAAGTGGTGTGTAAATTAGTATGTATGTGCTTTGCTTACTGTTTAAAAATGTAGAGTGAGCAGTGACCTTTCAGCCTTTCAAGCCACTTGCATTGAGAAAATTGTGCCCCAGTAGATACCTTTCATTCACTTTTGCTCTCCCATTTATGCTGTGAGAAATTGTAACAATCATAATCAGCATCTTTCGTGGAGGACTCAGCATTCTTAGGAATTATTGCTATTAGTCCAGTTTTTTTAAAGTCACAAGGAAATGGTTGTTATGGCCACTGGTTATTTGGAGGAAGTATGTTTACTCAAGTTGCTTATTGACCATTAACTTTGTAAGTATCCCATAAATGAGAACTCTGAGAAATCAGGTTTAGACAAGTGTCACGTCCCAAAACTTAGCACAATTCAACATCAGCCAAGGCTCTAGGACAGAGAAGTACAACCATTCCTTCCTCCCCCAAACTGGGACTTGGGCTACAGAGGCAGAAAGTCAATAGGCTGATAAACATCGTCTTACAGATCTATTTGATGGGTGCATGTAAATGTTGGGGTTTATGGGTTTGTTTAGAAACCAAATTTGCAGCTTGAAAGCTTCAGCTTGCCGAAGAGCCTTTTTTCTTTGTGATACTGAGGATCTTGAGGATCCATAGCTTCATGGCATGGGGTGATATCTTCCCCCTGTGTAGATGTTTCAGCATCCACAACAAATAGACAGTTCCTGCTGTCCAATAGCAGCTAACCACACAGTCATCTTTGGAAGAGGATTTCTAAGAACAGCTGTTCTGTTTAGATAGGGCATCTTTTGCCTAAAAATTAAAAAAAAATACTATCCAGGTCTTTGCATCTGCCCTGTATGTGTGATTTAGTCAATGGCTTGCACTAAATGTACAAACTATATGCATAGGAAACATTTGTTATGATTACAGTACTTTAGTTGATTGCTTATGATACTGAAAAGTCTTTATTTTGAAGTCATATGTACATATGCATGCTTCTGGAACTTTGCCCTTCTGATGAGAGGCCCTAGGTACTCTGAGTAATAAAGCTTGTGCAGAGTGCTGTCTGTGCTTACATACTAAAAATAATATAAAGGAAATGAAGCCATGTTAACCTGAGAGCAGCGTCTCCATAGTTGTGTTGTTTACAATACTCTATAAATGAGTTCCTGTTAAGCTGTAATTACATTGCTGCCCTTAGAGGCCATTCAGTTTCTTCTCTGTCATGTCCCTTCTTACACAAGTTCAAATTTTCTAACTTGTTTTTATTTTAAAGACTTTTAAAATGGACATTTTCAATAAACTAAAAATAATGCTTTATAAAATAAATCCTTTGCTTCTTTTTTGCTAACTACTATGCAAGAAGAACTTTTTACTTTTTTAAAGCTGAATTTTATTTAGAGTGGACAAATAACTAGATATTTATTGCATACAATGTGATAGGCATATATAGTGATATATGTATTCAGCATGGATATTTATATTTCATGATTATGAGCTAGTTAGTAAATCCATCATCTCAAATACTTATCATATTCTGTAGTAAGAACATTTAAAATCCTCTCTTTTAACTACTTTGAAATATTCAATGAATTATTATTAACTACAGTCACTATATTGAGCAATAGCTCTCACAAACTTATTCCTCCTATCTAACAGAAACAGTATACTTGATAAAAATCCTTTCCTGTCTACATCCCTACCCCAGCCTCTGGTTACCACCATTTTTCTAGTCTCTACTTCTGTAATTGAATTTTTTGGATTCTACACGTGATGAGATCATGCAGCATTGAGTTTTTTTTGTGCCTGACATTCATATAACGTAATGATGTCCAGTTCTATCCATGTTGTTGCAAAGGAAAGGATTTTCTTCCTTTTTTTAAGGCTGGATAGTATTCCATTGTATATAACTACCATATCTTATCCATTCATCCATTATTGATATTAGGTTAATTCAGTAACTTGACTATAGTGATTAGTACTGCAATGAACACGAGAATGTAGACCACTCTTTGACAAACTAATTTCATTCTCTTTGGAAATATCATCAGCCCGACTCTCCACAGCCTCACCTGCCTGTAACTTTTGCACTCAGGTAAGGTTATCTTTGAGGGAATATATTATCTCTATAAAGTAGTGAACAAATGTCATCATTCCCTGAAGTAAAACCTTCTTTACCTTTTCTATGTCTCTTCTGGCTCCAATTTATAAGCTATTTATTTATACCCCCTTGGCACAATTTCCATTTCAATATTAGGCAAAGATAGATTGATTTTCCTTTTCAAGCTCATCATTTGATTTGTAGTCTTGGTCTCATCTCTTTTTAATTTTTATAGGCCTTTGTCCTGGTCTGAGATTCTCAATTTTGACACAGGCAGAGTTTCCATGTCAGATCAGGATGAAATATTTGTTCGGCTTTAAGGTAGATGAGCTGGATAGTTTTTGCCACTCAGCATCCTTTCCTACCCATCTTTTATTCTTGTCACTGAAAGCATATAGGCTAAAATTACCTTTCTCAGATTCTCTTATTGCTAGAGTTTTGGGTACAATGAGGGTTTTGAAACACTTTCAGTTCTTCCAATTAGATTTTCACCACTTAAATTAGGTAGAGACTATCTTTTTGGGGCATGGTGGCCTGTAGAAAACTAGAAAGAATGTTTGCATCTTTCATAGTCTACATTCCAATGTGTCTAACTTTGTGGATTAAAAGATGCCGTGGTGGGAAGTATTAGCAATGACAGTTTCCTAACATTTGGATTACAAGTACAGTGAGATGTCTTTGAAGACGTTAGTCCACTGTAAGTCTGCTAACTCCCACTTCCTTCTATAGCTCCATGCTTTTGTACACATCTAATTACTTTTATGCCTAAACTATCTTAGTGGCTCACATTTCCTGTTCTGAACTAATAGATGTATAATTGTACTTCTAAGTGCTCAGCATTTTATACTAAGTGGTTTACTTGGTTCATATAAGTTGCAAACAACTACCGTGGTTTTCATTGTTGTTATTTCTACCTTACAAATGAACAGAGGTACACAGATGTTAAAAAACATAACAATAGTTCATGGTGGAGCTGGAATTTGGGCCTTTGGCCTATCTATCTACCTTTAAGGCTCAAGCTCTCTCTGCCACATTTCCTCCTCTGTACTCGGCATCTTGTGACCAAGCTTTGTTTCTCAGTTACCTAATCTTGTGAAGTCACAAGTGAATGTCTTCCTTTTGGCAGTATAAGAATTTACACTTGAGGCTTTGTTTGCTAGGCTTTGTTTGCTACACTTGAACCACAATGCCAGATTCCCCTCCTGCTTTTTTCTTTTTCAGTTATTTTTAAATGGGGTGGCTTGTTAATGCTAGAATTAGCCTAAACTATGATCCTTTTATTTGTGCTTTCCGTGGAGCTGGAACGACAGACATATGCCATCCTGTTCAGTTTTTATAAAGATGTGGGTCTCGTGAACTTTTTGCTTTGATTGGCCAAACATCACAATCTTCCCAAACTAAACTTCTTGTGTAACTAGAATTACAAGTGTGAGCCACTATACCTACCACAGATGAACTCTTGCTTAACACAGATAATTTCATTTTAATACCCATCTTGACCTCCCTCTACTATTTAATCCTGCTTTCTTTGCAATTAACAATTAATTTTGAGATGAGACTCTCACTAAGGGGCCCAAGCTGGCCTTGAACCTGTGACACCCCCTTCCCCTGCCCTGGCCACTCTAGTAGCCTGGCCACTATGCATATTTCAAGCAATCTCACTGCTTGGCTTTCATCATATCATGTTTCCCTGTACTTTTTTTAAACCCTTCTATCCTACTAATTTTATTTGCTTGGCCTGCTTCCTTCACCTAACTCTTGGACATTGTTAATCTTTAACACTCTGCCTTTTCATTCTTTCCAGCCTTTTCCTGGACAACCTTGTCTACTATAACTCATTTACTAAAATGCATCTATCTATATTTTTCTATTCTGAAACATTCTGATCTGTTTATGTATATTTTCTTCCATAATTAAAACGTGCCTTGTGTTTTCTCTTTTCTTTTTCTTCAATATTCTCTTTTTTCCTTTAACTCCTTTTCCTCCCTCCCTCCCCCTTCCATCATTCCTTCACTGTTTTCTTTGCTCTACATTGGGTATAGTCTTTGGTCTGCTGCATGAACAAGGCCATTGCACAAGTACCTGGGCTACCAGTTTAAACTGCTCTAGGATGCAATCCTATTCACTTGTACCACTGAGTACAAACAGTGCTGGGCGCCATGTGGACACTCATGTCAGCGATCTTCATATGCGGATCTTCTTGAGAGAACAGTTTGCTTAGGGCTTTCTACAGATCATTTCACTGAATCATTATGATCCCTGCAAAAATAATATTTTTACTATTCCATTTTATAGTTGAGGGCACTGTGACCTACTTTGGCTTACACTTGTCTGTGGTTACAAAGTTGGTAAATAGTGGTAAGATTATCTGCTTGACTCCATACTTAACCACCAGACTATAACAATATTTCTGGTCTTTAAAATATTGTGACATGGTTCACAAAGATAAAGAAAGTAACAGAAATCATACTGAGCTCCATGTTTCTGTCTCAAGGTGCTTCAAATTGCTTTAAAGACTTATAGCAGGGCTGCTCCCAACACAGTGGTATCAAATGGTATGGAAATGGTCATATATGGCATTAAACATGTTCCCTTTTGAAGCCCAGAAATATGTGTTGTTTCTATCACTTACAGCACACCATTTATATCTCATAGTCACTTGCTTTTTAATTGAAGAACAAAGACAGTAATGTTTTATATTTTGTTCATTTTCTGTTTGTCTAGAAAGAAAAATTATTGGGTATTTCAATTACTCTTGGAGAAATACCAGACTTATAAACACAAAATTAAATTAGATAAGTTAGGAACACAATATTACAGGAAGATTAAAAATTCTCTAATCCTTATCATTTATTGGAACATTTTTGACGGTCGTGGGGCCTGAACTCTGGGCCTCGGCGCTGTCCCTCAGCTCTTCAGCTCAAGGCTAGTGCTCTACCACTTGAGCCACAGGGCGACTTCTGACTTTTTCTGCTTATGTGGTACTGAGGAATCGAATTCAGGGCCTCATACATACAAGGCAAGCACTCTACCACTGAGCCACCTTCCCATCAGGAACAACTTTTAAACATGTTCAAGTAATTTTTCAGGATATATGATGTACTTTTAAAATGATTGTGAGATTATGAGAATAACAGTTTGGTGGGGCACTGGTGGCTCATGCCTGTTATGCTAGCTACTCAGGAGGCTGAGATATGAGAATCACGGTTCAAAGCCAGTCAGGACAGGAAAGTCTGTGAGACTCATCTCCAATAAACCACTCAGAAAACTGAAAGTGGCACTGTGGCTCAAGAGGTAGAGTGCTCGCCTTGAGCTGAAGAGCTGAGGGACAGTACCCAGGCCCAGAGTTCAAGCCCCACAATCAGCCAAGAAAGAAAGAAAGAAAGAAAGAAAGAAAGAAAGAAAGAAAAGAATAATAAGTTATCTATTTCTCATTTTCTCTCATCTATAAAAATGTGTGTTGTTTTATTTAGATATTTTTAGCCTAGTGAATGTCTTTATCCTATTTTAAAGTTTTGCTTCAAATGGCACACAGAACTATTTCATGAATTCTTGAGTTATATGTCACTACATTTATTCATTCATCTCTTACACAGTAGACAGCCAACTCTGTGTCAGGCCTTGTGGTCAACACTGCAGTTACCATGGTAAACAGGACAAGGCCTTGCTCCTCGAGAAGCTCATGACATGATAGGGAAAGCCTGATCCACAATAAATACCATTAGGCCCACAATAAATACCATTAAGGTAAGTGCTGCATGCAGTGAAGAAAGAAAGTTGATCTCGTGAGCACAGAAAACAGTGGGCATAGGTTCTAAGGCAGGAAAACATTTCCCATCTTGCTTACAGGTTACAACATAAGAGACCGTAAAAATGTGTTAGTAGAATATAAAATTAATTATTTCGTCTATTTTAATGTCAATAACAAGAGTATGCAAGGCACCAGTGGCTCAAGCCTGTAATCCTAGCTACTCCAGAGGTTGAGATCTGTGGATTGTTTTTGAAAGTCAGCACGCCAGGAGAATCTGTGAGATTCTTATTCCCAATTAACCACCATAAAGCTGGAAGTGGAGCTGTGTGGCTCAAGTGGTAGAGCATTAGTTTTAAGAAAAAGAAAAAGTTTAGGAATAATGCCTAGGCTCTGAGTTCAAGCCCTAAGACCAGCACAAAAGCAAGAAAAAGAAAGAGAAAGAGAGAGAAAGGAAGAAAGAAAGAAAGAAAGAAAGAAGAAAGGAAAGAAGGAAGGAAGGAAGAAACAAAGAAAGAAAGAAAAAGAAAGAAAGAAAGAAAAAGAAAGAAAAGAGGCAGGGAGGGAGGGAGGTGGGGAGGAAGGAAGGAGAGAAAGAAAGAGAGAGAGAGAGAGAAAGAAAAGAAAGAAGGATCCCCTTTTCTTGGGAAGGGCTGGAAGACCTCATGAAGAAGTAGTCTTTTGGGTTAAGGAAAATTTGCTGTGTGAGGCAGAAGCTTAATAAAATATCCTGGGCGGAAGGTACATGAGGTGACATTTACAGAGTAGCAGAGACTATGGGAGAAGTGGGGATGGCCTAGAAAATGTAGACCTTCTAATACCATGAATTTGTTTGGTGTTAAGGAGAAATGCACTCAGGGTGAGCCAAGTACTCTACCACTTAAGCCATGCTACCAGTTCTCAACAACATACTGTTATAGATACTTAGTTACTAGAGGTAGAAATAATCTGGAAGATAATGATTCTCAAGGAAGAAGGTGTGTGTGTGGGGTGTGTGAAATTCAATGGCAATATTTAAATACCAAAAGTGTCTGAAGATTATTTTTTAAAAAATCTGCCCAGGTAGACAAGGATTTCCTTCTTTTAAATATGTGCGTAGCTCATGCTATTTCTTTGTTTATTTTTACAGTGCTGAGGACCTTACACAGGCTAGGCAAGTGCTCTGCCACTGACCTACATCACCAGCCCAAAGGATCCCCTTTTGATAAATTCTACCAATGCTTCTTGCCCACCAATTGTCTCACTCAGGCAAGTTGCATAAGGGTAACAAGGCTACCAAGTGGGCACTGAGCTACCGGAAGGGAAGGAGAGTCATGCATGATCTGTGAACTGTCTTCCACTCTCAAATGGGTTCAGTCTTGCTGTCAACTAGGCTGAAGATTCTGGCCTTCCTAAAAAAAAGAAAGGCCTATGTATACCTGTAAGAATATCATGGCAGGGGCGGGGAATGTGACTTAGTGGTAGAGTGCTTGCCTAGCATGCATGAAGCCCTCGGTTCAATTACTCAAAACCATATACACAGAAAAAGCTGAAAGTGGCACTGTGGCTCAAGTGGTAAAGTGCTAGCCTTGAGCAAAAGAAGCTCAGGGACAGCGCCTAGGCCCTGAGTTCAAGCCCTAGGACTGGCAAAAAATCATGGCAAATATCAGCAAATCCCTCAGCTTCCATGGATGCTATTCCACATTCTTCAAGTCCCTTTTGCAGAAGTGAACACGGCACACGAATCTTTGCTTATGGAGGATAAGAAGGCACTGTGGGCATATCCCTTGCACATGCCAAATGTCTTTCGAGGAAGTATGCAGCCATGCAAGTCTATCCAAATGGATGAAGAGCAGGGACAGTGGCCAAGAATAGATGCCACTCCTTCTCCTTCCCTTTTCTTATTTCTACAGTAATATTTTGGGGTTGAATATGAGCTATTTGTCTTTTGTGAGTATATGTTACTTGTATAAAGGGGTTTCATTTTCTAACACATTTATAAGGTATCATGTGATTATTTTTGTTGCTTTGTATGTCTCTCCCTCACAGTATAACCCCTGTTCTCACTGTATTTGATGACGATGTAATTTGGGGAGGGGAAGGGAAAAAACGAATTGTTTAAATAGGGATACAGGTGGACCCATTGCAACAATGAGATGTACAAGACGTTATGTCGAAAAATGAACCTTACAATTTAGGCAGGGGAGGGGGGAGTGTAGTTGTGGAGGTGGGAGGGAAGGGATGGTAGGGGTAGAACAAAGGAGGAGGCAACAATGCTTGATAAGAAATGTACTCATTACCTTGCTCATGTAACTGTAGCCCCTCTGTACAGTATTTTCACAGTAAAAAACATAAAAGGGGTTTCACTGTGTTATTTCCAAACATGTATGTAATATACCTTGATCATGTTTTCCTTCTCTGTAATTCTTTTCTTACCTCCCTTCCCCCCTTTTTTATATTTTAATGGGTTTTATATACTATTTTTTCTTACGTGCATATACTGTACTTGCATCATATTCTCCCCTCTATCCGACTCACCTTTGGGTGTTTATCTTAAACAAGGCACTCCATCAATGATGATAAATATGTCACTCTGGGCATCTTACCCCAACTACTCCTCAATTGGTGGTGATGACATATGATGCATTGGCTTTAGTGGAAGATTCTGGGGCCAATCCTTACCATCAGCCTGTCAGCTGTACTTCTTCTTGCCTAAGATGGAAACACCTAGATAGTTGTTACGAAGATATACTACTCTTCTTACTTAACAACCTCTACCCTCACATGGCTGTGAATGGTTTGAAAACTGTCAATCTCCTGCAAGCTTTTCAGAGCAAGCTGGAAATCAAGCCTCAGATCGCCTTGCATGGAATCCAGGCTTCCATGTCATCCATCAAAGGCTATCACAGATTTCTAGAGACTGTGCAGCCACAATGCTGTTTTGTGTGCTAAGCTTGAGACCTCTTGATGAAAACAGTACAAAGGTTGGCAACATTTCCTTCAAATACTTCCTCCCTCTTTCCTCAACCTGGCTGAGGGATTTAGTACTAAAAGACCACAATAATGTTAAGGAATCTTTATTATTCAAAAAATAAATAACAAGATAATCACAAATTCACTCTAAAACAATGGAGCGTGCAGGGAGATACAATAGATTTCCTTTAAATACAGTCATTTTTTTTTGGTGAGGAGAGGGCAGGTGCAGAGCTGTTCTCCCCACTCCCCACCCCCAATCTATAGTGCTGTAGGTAGGGACAGGGGGAAAAAACCAGTTAGCAATAGCTTGCCACTCTGTGTGTGTGTGTGTGTGTGTGTGTGTGTGTGTGAGAGAGAGAGAGAGAGAGAGAGAGAGAGAGACAGACAGACACAGAGACAGAGACAGAGTGAGAGAGATCCAGAAAGAGAGACTCAGAAATAAAGTGACCCAGAGAACAAAAATGAGTGAAGAGAGACCCAGAGAGAGAGAGAGAGAGAGAGAGAGAGAGAGAGAATGAAGGTGGTTATTTATGGGTGGTCTTTGTAGAGCCTGTCCTGGCTTCCTCTACAAGGACCCAGAGTGAATAACAATAGAATGTAAGCAGAAGCTTCCAGTTTCCCTTCTGCATCATCACTGAAAGACAATGTAAAGAAACACAATTGAACTTAGCTAATTATCTGTGCATCATGGCCTTGTCATTTCATAGGATCTTCTGCACATCTGCATCAGTGGGGATTGCCATTTCAGAAAATAAGCTCTTATGGAGCAGAGTCTCTTAGAGTTCCACCCACCCTGTAATTCACTTATTCCAGCTCTATGTGCCTCGGGGTACATAATAAATAGTTCTCTGTGAGGAAGGTCCTAGGGTTATAAATAGGCAGTTCAACAGGAGGTGGCCCTAACTGCTTTGCTATATTAAGAAGTCTGCCAGCTTCACCCCGCTGCAGCCTGGGAGTTTGCACTCTTCAGAGCTTGAGTAGGCCAAAAGATGTGAAGCCAGTCCCATGGTTCACTTGGCTTGGATCAGTCACGTTCACAAACATGGAAGCATTTGCTTGCAAATCAAATACTCCTCCTAGGTGAATGGATTGTTGCCCACAAGGTTTGGAGGAAGTGTTGGCATTTGCTGCTCTGAGTAAGATTCTCTCAGTTCCACTGGCGGACCTCAGACAGAGGCTGACCATAAATGGATCTTGACTCGAACGATCTCTATTAGAACAGAAGGTAACTTGGGTGTAGATATAATAGAGTCCTTGTCTTTTAATGGTCAACTGTTTCCCATTGTCAAGGGTTACCAACTTGTTGCTCATGGTGTAATATCCTTTCTCGGCCCATTTTAGAACTGTAACAAAAAGGGAAATTTGTGAGGAAAGGAAGCAGAGAATAATGCACATTCTAACAGGAAATAGTAGGCATGGCTTCTCAAGGCTCTTTCCCAGCCTCACAGTCAAAGAGGGGTTATGGATAACAAATTAGCATAGGCTTTTCAGTCAAAGGCATGTTCAGTTGTGGGCTTTCTTCAAGCACTTTTCTGACACTTGGGAAGATTAAACAAAGAAACAGATCATGGTGAATTTTTCTCTCTCTCTTGAGTTTTTTTATGGGGTGCTATTCATGGGGCTTCAACTCAGGAGCACAGACACTGTCCCTGACTCTTTTTTGTCAGTTGTGGGGCTTGAACTCTGGGCCTGAGTGCTGTTTCTGAGCTCTTCAACTCAAGGAGAGTACTCTACTACTTGAGCCACAGAGGCCACTTCTGGTTTTCTGGTGGTTAATTGGAGAGAAGAGTATCCAAGACTTTCCTGCCTGGGGCTAGCTTTGAACCATGATCCTCAGATCTCAGCCACCTGAGTAGCTAGGATTATAGGCATAAACCACTGATACCAGCCCTAGCTTTCTTTTGAGCTTTTAAGAGCAATTTGTCCTTGAATGAAGAAAGTGCAAATTATTTCAAAATTTCATAAAATTACAGAGACCAAACTATTCAGACAAAAAAATCCTTTCTAATAATTAACATGAATATCTTGCCTTGAATTTTACTAAGTTGCTAATCTACCTAGCTTAGTTTTGGCACACACAAATAAGACCCCATTTCTTCCCACCTGATTGTGTTGCTGTAAGTTCAATCTGCCTCCCACAGCAAGGCCTAAAATTAAACAAGGAAGTGTGAAAATAAACTGTGCGTTCATCTTACTATGGGTTTTGATCTGCCAGTGTAGTGGGCGCCACCAACTTGAAAGCTCTTACTCGTATTCTTGTGGCTAAGCCCGAGTACCTACCAACAGTGAGCCATTTTCTCAAGTGAGATGTTGAGTGGGTTCAAAGTGGTATGTGTGCCTGATTACAAATCTCAGCTTACACAGAGAGCTAGATTGGCTGGTGGAGGATGGAGGAGGAATTGAGAGAAGAGAAAATATTGATGTATTTGCTCCCTTGAGCTCTGTGAAAATTATTATTCAATGGTCTTTCAAGGCACAATAACCTTCCTGTTAAGATGCATCATTTAGCCGGTAATCCTAGCTATTCAGGAGGCTGAGATCTGAGGATTGTGGTTCAAAGCCAGCCCTGGACAGGAAAGTCTGTGAGACTCATCTCTAATTAACCACCAGAAAATTGGAAGTGGTGCTGTGGCTCAAGTGGTAGAGCACTAGCCTTGAGCTGAATTGCTGAGGGACAGTGCCCAGGCCCGGAGTACAAGCCCCATGACCGACAAAAGAAGAAAAAAGATGCATCATTTAGTAATGGAGGGGCTTTTTGCCATATTAGATGTTTCTGTTCCCACTCCCCCAAAGCCATTCCAGAAAGGGTGCTTCCTTGATGATGTTTCCACTTCTAGGCCATTTGGTTCTATATATCAGTCCATTATGTTTATTATGTTAAATTCTAATGTACAGTTCTTGCTATGTCATGTAGTTCAAGTTTGTAGCAGCAGGACCAGGTAAATCATGAGAGATTTGGGGCTGAGCTGCAAACGGGGAATATTATTGTCTTTCCACCTAACCTCTGCATACCTACTGCAATGTAGAGCACAAAGTATTATAGGGCCAATATCATTCATATCATTCATCTTTTGGGAGAATCTGAATTTATGAAGTATATCTTAGAACAAAAATTTAGGCACTTGTGGATAAAGACCAAGGAGGAGATGATTCTGGGTACTTTCATGTCATCCAATGCAGAAGAGAATTTCAGGGTCAAGAGAATGGCTGCCAAGGACAGGGCAATATAATTTGATGTGCTCTCATAAGTATATTCTCTGAGAAAAGGAGCATATGACAGAATTATCAATGAGGAGCTTTATGTCACTCTTGACATCTAAATTCCAGTGAAGTAAAATAGGTAGTGGCACCTTTACTGATATAGTTTAACTTGACAGTGTAACTTTCTTCCAAATTAGCTGATTTCATATTTAAAGCAACCCTGTGAAGTAGATGAGGCAGGAAACGACATCCTAGTTAAAATACCTTGCCTACAGTCACTCAGCAAGTGGTTCATGGCTCTTGAATCGCAAGTGTTTAAAGACTCCCTATCCAGTGCTCTTACTTCCATACCACAATTCATGATAATCATGCATGTGCTACACTCACTGAAGCCCAAGCTATGTCAGAGATGAGGCAGTAGCTTCCTTTTTTCCTCTCAGTGCATGCGTGCGCTCTCTCTCTCTCTCTCTCTCTCTCTCTCTCTCTCTCTCTCTCTCTCTGTGAGAGAGCGACAGAGAGAAAGAGACAGAAACAAAGACAGAGACAGAAAAAGAAAATGTAGAACTCCATTCCAAAGTGCTCTGCTGAATTTTTCAAAAGCTGCTTTGATGGTTTTGCCCTTATGCAAATGAGTGATTTTGTGCTAGCGTACATGTTTCCATCCGTTTATAGATGCAACACATTCGCCAGCCCTAGGTTTTTTGCCAGATACAGATTTGGAGGTGGCATGTAGAATATAAGGGCTAGAATGATGGCAGAACATCTATGGAAATAAAATCTTTCAGAGTTGAAAAGATCACAGTATGTCGTCTGTGTTACTTCATTGGAAAATCTAATGTCTTGGTACCTATTGATCTTTACAGAATGATTTTACCTTTAATTTCCCCAAGGTTGGCCCCAGTGAGGCTGGGGTTAATCATACATGGATTGACAGATGACAGATAAGACCCCCTGGGGCTCATTTATACACAGTAAAGAGGGGTTAGGAGGAGAGATGTCCCAATCAGAGGTCACTCCCTGCCACCTCTTCTCTGCTGTCAGAATAATGGTCTCTCTACCTAGTAATTCATCATTAGAATCCACCATTGAACAAGAACATAGTGAGAACACTGGGATTGTTTCCCACCTCCTTTTGTCCTTCGAAGTCCTGTCTGTGCATTTGTGCCCACTTTGAAGACAACAGACAACGTTTGGGAGATGTTAGAAGGAAATGTGTGATGTTATAAGTAAATGTGTATGTTGGTCCCCAGAGGAAGAGAAGGGCCAAGTCATTAGATTGCATTGATTCAGTGTTCCTTTCTTCCCCAGATGGTGGCTGAAATTTAGATGCTATAGGACTTACCACGTGTTGTTTTATCACTGGCCTCACTTATGACATGTGCTGCAGTTTGTGGATCCTGATCACCTGAAATTAAACCAAAAGAAAACCATCAGGAAAAGGAAATTCAAAATTGCTCACAGGGCTATTTGGTCTAGTTCTATAACTGTGCCTAGAGACCGTGCTGAAGTAGTTTATGTTTAAGGAGGAACAAAATGGTCAGTAATCCTTCCCACTGTGGAAAAAGTTGGTTTCTAGTATCTTAATAATTGAATCAGGTATTTCCATTGATTACATTCACCTAGTTATTGTTCAATACGCAGTTCCACTTTGCATAAATCAACATAGGCTAAAATCCTTGTCTTCATTAAACTTACCTTAAACTTTGCTTTTAGGGCATCCCCTATACATTGGAGGTCTTAGTGGACTCCCAAGCTACGTCCATAACACTGAGCTACTAAGATGCTTTTGGTGTCTCATTTGGCTTAGCAGAATTTAGCCAGACTATTAATCATCTCTCATGTAAAATACTTGTTTCTTAATCAGAGGTGCTGGTCTTCAAAGAGAAGGGATTGTAAGGTAGGTTTTATTTTTTCAGTTATGAGCTTGTTGCATTATACAACTACTGATAATTCACACCTATAATTCTAGCTTCAGTGAGCAGCCGAGCTGGTTGCACTACACAACACATTAAAACCCGAGTTGACTTCATCTCATGTCCCCCCTTTCAATGCAGATAATTGTAGTAGGCTACTCCTTCCACACTGATAAGCTAGAGATGCGAGGGAAGAAGTTTAAGTGTCTACATTACATAAATCAGAAAAAAAAAACCTAAAGCTATTTTGCAGGGTTTCCTTGTTAATTTGAATACGTGAAGTGATCTGAGTGTTAATTTGGACTTAAGAACTCATTTGAATTTTGTCATAGACTTACAATCTGCCTGAAGTATTAACTATATCATAGGATCCTTTCCATCCCTTTCCACATCCATTAGTTATAGTACTTTGTAAGCTGTCCTTGTAACATTACAACTATTTTTTTTTTGCTTGTTTGTTTTGTCTGGGCCTGGGCGCTGTCCCTCAGCTCTTCAGCTCAAGGCTAGCGCTCTAGCACTTGAGCCACAGCCCCACTTCGGGCTTTTTCTGCTTATGTGGTACTGAGGAATCGAACCCAGGGCCTCATGCATGCAAGGCAAGCACTCTACCACTGAGCCACCTTCCCAGCCCTACAACCATGTTTTGTTGCAACATTTTAATAAGCATTTACAGTACAATATGTGTTATTTTCTTAGGTAAACCAATGGTATACTGCTTTAGCAACATTTGATAGAGGACCTTTTATACATTTGTAGTAGATAAAATAGATCAGATTGTACCTTTTTTTTGTATATGTGCCAGACCTGGGGCTTAGAAATCAGGGCCTAGGTTTTGTCCCTGAGCTTCTTTTTGCTCAAGGCTAGCACTACTTTCGACCTTGTTGGAGATAAGAGTTTCACAAACTTTCCTGCCAGGGCTGGCTTCAAACTGCAATTCTCAGATCTCAGCCTCCTGAGAAGCTAGGATTATAGGCATGAATTATCAGTGCCCAGTTCAGATTGTGATTTTTTAAAATACTAAGCTATGTGCCAATGTTTTGGTAGAACTTGGTAGGGTAAGTTAACCTGAACTTGCATTCTATTAACCAACATGATTATATTTCTGTAAGTATAGTTACATTGAAATAATTTTTTTTGCTGGTTGTGGGTCTTGAGCTCAGGGCCTGTGTATTGTCCCTGAGCCCCTTTGTGCTCAAAGGTAGTGCTCTACCATTTGAGCCACAGAACGACTTCTATTTTTTTGAGGGGGTTAATTGGAGATAAGTACTGGCTTTGAACCACAATCCTCACATTTCAACCTCTTGGATAGCTAGGATTACAAGCATGGACCCCAGTGCCCAGCTGAAATAAAATTTTAAGAAGGAAAAAAAATCTTTGTAGATGTGTTATAATTTTTCTCATCACATATGATATGAAAGATCAGTGTGGATGTTAATGGTGTTCCTGAAGACTATTTGCAGCATCTGCAAAACCTATTCGCTTAGATTTCACTGAAATTTATAGGTAGCATGGTACTACCCTAATGTCTTTTGAGGCTAATGGCAAAGGCAAGTTCTGAGCATTCACTTTGCCTTAGAAAATAGCACCAACATAGAAAATGGCCCCAACATCTCTGTATGTATACATTTCTTTGTGTGCATTAGATTCACTCAAACCATAGCATTATGCTCTCCAATAACTCTCTTTCCTTCTTTGCTGCTCAGATCACTTCAGCAATTTTTGGGTTAGTTTCAGGTGCTATATTCTGAAATGAACAAGAGAAAACCTAGATAGGGTCGTAAGAGGACCAGTGGAAGACATCAGTTATATTTGGCCTGGAGAAGAAAAAGTTCAACCAAAGCTTAGGTGACATGATTACTGTCTTCAATGTCTGGACTTCTGGTATATAGGAGAAGAATTATTCTTTTTTTTTTTTTGTCGGTCCTGGGTCTTGAACTCAGGGCCTGGGCGCTGTCCCTGAGCTTTTTTGCTCAAAGTTAGTGCTCTATCATTTTGAACCACATCTCTATTTCTGGTTTTCTGGTGGTTAATTGGAGATAAGAGTTGCATGGACTTTCCTGCCCAGGCTGGCTTTGATCTGTGATCCTTAGATCTCAGCATCCTGTGTAGCTAGGATTATAAGTGAACTACCAGCCCCTGGCAAGAATTATTCTTTATTTGGTAAGGCCTCCAAGACCAGAACTAAAACCAGTGAGTGGAGATTACACAATAAAATTTGAGTTGAGGAAGAAAGACTTTTCTGGAGAAGTATAATAGTTGTACTGTAATTATTAGAGTTGTTCAAAGATTAACCAGAATAGCTTATGTGGTAAAATTATCTCATCCCTAGACATATTGAGAAGAGGCCAGATGGTCAATACTGTTTTACAGAAGATTGTGCTGGATTTGAGAGGCATCAAGTTTATTTTCTAACCTTAAGATGTTCCAGACACTCTGACTTCAAGTATAGGACAATGATTCGAACATTATCACACAGTCACATATTGATTCCAGAGAATCTGCTAGGCACTACTCCTCATGAAAAGCTGACAAATGCTAGTTCTAACAAATGATGGCTTTCTTATGTCACCACTGAAGATGCTTCCAGGCTGTATGGTTATTTAAAATACTGAATATGCTATAATTTCTTTATAATTGGTATTATTAGCATTAGAGGAGCATAGCCTTCCCCATAAATATGGGTGTACAAATGAATTATAGGGATTCATTTGAATCATTGAAACTTTCTTGATCATAGGGATCACAAAAAGTATCCATTTGACAATTTTATTTCTAGGGCTAAAAGGGTTATTTAATATGATCAGTTCAAAGCTTACTTTTATGCTTTTATTTCTTTTTAAGTTTTAGCAAGGATGTATTTTAGTATAAAGTGAAATAAAGGGAGATACAAAGAAATAACATTTCCTGCTTAGGAAGTGGAAGTTAAAGACTCCTTCCTTCATGTTTTAAGCATGCATAGGAATGGACAAATTGCAACCTACCTTTTTGCATTTCAAAGCTGTTTTCTTTTTGCGTCTGCTTTTTGTTTAGCATTATATCCTGAAAGAAGAATCATTGCAAAAGGTCATTTTGATAGGAGCTCTGCCATGGGGTTTTAGAGGTAACATTCATGCGGCATCTGTCATTACTCTGTGTGTGTTGCGAGGGAGGATTATTACAGAGACTAAGGTACTGTCATTAATTATATCATATGGATTGGGAGCCCATGGCTCTGACAGATGAGCTGACAGCCCAGAAATCCCAGGGGGAGAATCTGGAAACAAAATCCAGGTCTTATTATCTCTATTCCAGTGCTTGCTCCAGACCAGAGGCTGTGATACTGACCCTTCCTATGACCTCGACCTCCCTAGCTTTGGCTTTGACAAGTATTGACAATGCTGAATGAGGAAATGCATCTTTCTTAGGAAGTGGTATATGGAATGTTATTAAACACAAGCATACTACGATTCTACTAGAATTAAATTGTTCTGCAAATGTAAGTTGGATCTTGGGAAAGAAATTTCAGACTATGAAAAGCCCCTCTAACATGTTAAAGTTTGTTTTCCTTTTCAATGGGCTTGAGAGATCTTGTTGATGGCTGCCTTGAATAGACTACCTTTATTGAGAATAATCCAGATTTAGGAAACACAAGTCATATTCCAATGTCACTGATGTTGGAAGGCAAATGCAGCACATCTTAGAGGATTTATTTATAAACTCAAGAGATATCGAAGGATTTAAAAGGAGCTAGAGGGACGTTCTTTAACAAAGTCTGAAGGCTAATAAAGGCTAAAGAGCCTGGGTACATATAATCCTAAGTATGTGGGAGGATGAGATCTGAGGATCACTGTTCAAAGCCAACTGGAGCAGAAAAGTCTTATCTCCAACTAACTAGCAAAAAAAAAAAAAAAAAAACTGAAAGAAAAGGTGTGGCTCAAGTGGTAGAGTGCAAAAAAGCCAAGCCAGAATGAGAGGATGGGTACTGGGACCAAAAAAAAAAAAAGAGGCTGAACAAAAGGCCTGGAGATCTTAATTGGATAGTATGAGATCACTTCCAGAGAGTGAGGCTTGAACCAAGACTAGAACGTAGGCAATTACATTCTTAAGCTTGGCTCAACTTCACCTATCTCCTGTAATCTGTACACAAAGAGGAAAAAAGCAAAACTTTCACATCTCCTAGTCATCAAAGTCCTATGAGCCCTTCCATTTCTGGACTCAATTGCTCTTCTTTCGCATTCCTCCCCTAGAAGGAATGTATGTTGCAACTGTAGGTTAAGCTACCTTGGCAGGTGTGAGGGCATAAGTCACAGAGCCCCATGGGGAACCCGAGCCTCAAAGTGATTACATGGGCTACAGAGCTTCGACTTTCCATTTGAGCTGAAGTGGGTACTATGAAAAGGCGGCCACAGGAAAGTGTGAGATAGTGAGCAAACAAATGACTAGAGTCTTTGTGAACACTAATGTGTGATGATTGAGGTTGAGACACTTTGAAGGCTGGGTGTGAAGGCTTGGCCAAAATAAAAACGTGAAGTCAGCAGTTCATTTTTTATGCACCTAGCTTTGACTTTTTGTGAACTGCCCCCCCCCCCGGCCCCACAAGCCATACTCCCTAGAGTCTTGTTTTCTTCTTTCTGTCTCCACCTCAACAGGAAGAGAAAATATGGGATGAGTTATTTCTCTTGAGTAGGAGGTCTAGATGCCAAGGATGGACGTAGTTCCACTGAACATGCTGTTTAAAATGATGCTCTCATTTACCCTGACACAAACCCCAAACTCCATCTTCCCCTTAAAGTGATAGCTTGTCGCAGTCTGCTGTGACAAAGTTATGTTGACATTGGGTGACCCCATGCAGGGATAGTGAGGAGAAGACTAAAGTTCTGTGAACTGAAAATTGGATGTGATGATTTCTAAAATCGCATCAAACCCTGTGACTTCAAACCCTCAAATTTAAACTCGAAGTTGCTCTGGACTAGCCGGACAGTAGCCTAGAAAGGAAGCTTGCTAATGCTAGCAGAAAGTATAAATCCAATCTAGAGTTATTCTGTAGTCACCCTATTGGATTAAAAACAAAGGTCCCCAGCACTGTTTCAGAGTAAGAAATTTGGGGGCAATGGATATTGGCAAGGGGGTCAGTTATTTGAGGAAGATTAAGTAGCTGCAGAGCTTTATCTCTAAGCATTGTACACACCTTAGGTGCACATGGCATTGTCTAGGGCTCCACACCAGTGGTAGAAGACGAGTCCAATGCCCTCAGCCATTAGCTCACTTAGGTATGGTGTGGGAGTGCAGCTGTGTATCAAGTGACAGGGCATCCATCTGAATAAACCAACAAGCTGATCACATAATTACAGAATGTCAGAGCTGATAATACCACTACAGACAATCTCCACTCTCTTAAACTATTTATGAGAAAATGGAGGCCCACTAAGGTGAAATCATTCAGCCAAAGTTGCATGGCCAAGCATATTTTATCTTCTAGTTGGATTATTAACCATTGTTTTGAGTATGACTTTATCCACAGTATAATTTGCACCACTTCTGAATCTTGTAAGAATCGAGCAGTTCAAATTATTTCTTAAGCTGGCTAGTCCATAAAGGATTAGGGGTTTCGTTTGAACCCTAGACTAGTGTTAAGTACCTGAAGCTGTAGTTGTGAGCTGCATTCTGTAGGGAATAGTGACAGGAAATAAACTCTGTCTTTGTAAGTGAATTAATTTGTACTGTTACACACTGATGACAGTACAGACAAGTAGGAATACATTCCGAAAATGAGATCTTATTCTTTATCACATTCTACTTTTTCCACGAGAACTCATCTCCATTGGTTTATTCAGACGCTCACCCTCTTGATAGAGCAGTATCCCTAGGTTAGCCCTAAAGCGAGTTGATGGCTAAGGACATTTGATTCAGTGTTTGGAGAAGAAAATGGACAGAGAGAGAAAGAGAAAGAGAGAGAGAGAGAGAGAGAGAGAGAGCGCACGCATACTTGATGTTCTTAGGAAAGAAAAAAAATTCATTGACCACACAATTCTGGGACCAAATTAGTGGAAAGGCTCTAAAAATTCTCATTTTACATATCCAGTATAGGCCACAATCATTAGTTTCTTTAAGTGCTGACAGCCTGATGGGTTAGAAGACTTCAGAACTTGTCTGTGTGTGATTAGGGTTGGCTCTAGAGTGGCTTTATGAGCAAGTGGTTTTATACGGGGTCTGGTTTGAATGACACTGAGAATACCATTACCCATTCCCTGCTCCCCTTCCTCACAACGAAGGGAAAGGTCTCACTTCCATAGCATTTGAAATTACATTATTGGATAAGCACTGAATATTGTGTTGATTCTTGAGTCCCTACTAGTCCCCGAATAAGCAATGCCTTCACTTGTGGCTTGTCAACATGACAGCAGCCAATGGTCATTACTTTTCTACCAAGTGAAGATTGGACCATGGCAGCACAGTGGGAAGACTTAATAAAGTCTGCATAGAAAGACACTGAGTGGTGAAAAAGAAGCATCTCTAGTGCTGTGCTGCTCACTTATAATGCCAGTACTCAGGATATTGAGGCAAAGAAATAGCGAGTTCCATGTCAGCCTGGGCTATGGAATGAACCCTTGTCTCAAGAAGAAAAAAGCAAGAGAAAACAAGAATCCCCACCCAAGCTGGGCGTCGGTGGCACATGCCTGTAATCCTACCTACTCAGGAGGCTGAGATCTGAGGACTGCGGGACAAAACCAGCCTGGGCAGGAAAGGCCATGAGACTAATCTCCAATAAGCCACCAGAAAACCGGAAGTGGTGTTATGGCTCAAGCCTTGAGCTGAAGAGCTGAGGGATAGTGCCCAGGCCCAGAGTTCAAGCCCCACGACCGACAAAAAAAATCCCCACCCAAAATGTATTTTTCACCCTTTTGGTTAAACTCAAGTATAAAATGCACCAAAAGCATATACACATAAAATGAAACAAAACCAACTTGGTATATCTAAAATGGCCACTAATGTGAGTTCATGAATACATGTGTGCCCAAAGGGAAGTGTACATTCTCTCCTAGAGAGAGAATATTGATTTCTATCCAAGTAGGAGTGTGCACATTTCCAAATCTCCTTTTCAACATAAAGGTTTAGCTTCATTTTTGCTTTCCGTGATGCATACATGCACTCAAATTCATGCCTATGAAATATATGCATATACTCACATACCCATGTACACATGTACACAATGCTAACATACATATACACGCATGCATATACACACATATACATGCTTATATATGTGAGTATTTCTGCATGTGTATAACAACTCAAACATTTACATTGCTAAATTTCAATTCCTGATCTAAAAATAATGTAGTAAAACTTTTCACTGACTTTTCTAAATAGCTGAGTGCCTTACCTTGACAAAGCCTTCAAACTGGCTTCTAATTTCTTCACAGTTCAGCAAAGATAATGATCCTTCTCCTCTCCTGCATCTCTGTAGCGTTTTCATGAATACAAAATCCTCATGCAGATTCCTTTCATCTTCTATCTGTTTTGAAATAACCAGGATAAGAAAAATATCATTCGGGAGAATGCAGCTAATGACATTTACCTCCACATTCCCTCCTGTGGCACAACAAGAGGAGGCCTTTGAAAGCATCAATAGGGAGTATTAGGAGCTATTATACTGGATCATCTCTATTTGGTACTTGCCATTGAAAAATCTACAAAAGCCAGTGATTAAGGTATCATATTATCTGTGTCTGGGGATAGAAATCACAGCTATTCTGAGGAACTTTCATCACAATATATATTTTTTTAATAGGCCATAGCAGCAATAATCTATAATTGTCGAATTTCCTGTTAGCCTATAAAATACTTTTCTGCTGAGCTAATTTGCCCACTTCGTTTTAGTGTTCCTTATATAGTGCTTTCAAAAGAAGGTAATTTGTAACATGGGTCCACCAATTTTGAATTTTAATTACACTATTCTCCTTTTTTTAGAAGTACTTTTAAACAAATCACCCCTCATCCCTAGAGTTAATGAGATATTTTCTTTTCCAATGCCTTAGTAATTAATTAAATGTAAGAAATTCACTTGCATTATCAACTAATTCCATTCCATTTTCTACTTTTAAGAGTAGATTTTTAACATCATTCAAGAAAAGGTCCAGGCAGCCAGCGGTTATGGTTCTCCTTGAGGGCACATCTAAATCTTCTGGCCTATCACTATTTTCCCCTTGGAGGCCAGGCCTATTTCTAGGCATTTGATCAATAGAGGCCAGCATTCCAAACACTGACAACAAGAGACCGCATTCAGAACACATCTCTTCTCAGCACTGAAACCTAAAACTTGATAATGTAATGGGTTGCTCCCATTCTCACTATATTGTCTTACACTGAGAGAAAACTTCATGACTTTAATTCTATGTCTTTGTCTCAAGAGAAGACGGCCAAGGAACCCAGAGAAAATGCAGTCATCTAGATGCTTCTGCCTGGCCATAGTTCCATGTGCGGACTTTTAGGGACAGCCAGGTACTTGATTCATTTTCTCATATTCATCTAGGATGGGTGTTTGTCAATACAGTAGACAAATGAAAATTGGAAGCAGGGACAATCCCCATGCTGTCTTTTTCGAACAATATGAAAACCCTGTTAAATCAATCTCTTCTTTTGTTCCTGCAAATCCAGTCATTTAAGAAGGTAAAGCTGTTCAGAGTGACACTGAACGGCTGGCCACTGAAGAAGACTTGGCATTTGAAGACTCACAGAATACTATATTTACTAGAAAACTGTGAATTTAGGGACTTATCTGAAACACTATGAAATTTCAGATCAAATGGATGTACTCTTTTCCTAGGTAGAAATCCAAAATGTAAAACTCTCCATCAAAAAACAATGTTTTTTTTTTGTTAAAGTAAAACATTAGTTAAGAATTATAGATAGAGCTCACATAACATTACGTTTCAGATGCTGTTTTAAGTGCTTTGCAAGGCTAGACTCATTTAATCTATGGTGTGGGTATCACAACCATTTACATTTTACAAGTGTGGAAACTGAGGCATAGAAATCTGAAGTAAATTGCCCTGGATCATAGAGCTGGTAGGGGCAGAACCTGACTAACCCCAGAGGAAGAATCTGAGACCCCACTGACTAGACCACAGTTGTTAAATAACATAAAACAATCCATCTACTTGGATTTTTACCATTGCCTATTATCTTTAGGTAGAAGTAAAAATCAACCAATTTACCAATTCATAACACCCCTGGTATCATTGCTAAAGATTTGATATTTGTCTTACCTTGTCCAACCTTCTATGAAGATACACAGCAAAAAGTGCCGATCCAATCATCTGGGTGATGAGAAAAATAGTAAGTAAATACATAAAAATTTTCATGCTAGTGGGCAGTCCAGGGGCAACCGATCGAGGAGAAGGTTGGCTGTATGTTTCGATCATTCTGAGTTTAAGTTGAAATAGTATCTTCTGACCAAGAAGGTGACAGAAACAGCATGAGAAGACTGTCAAAGTTGGCCGCCTTACTCAGGATTAGTTAAGAGCGCACAATCGTCACAGCCCACACTTCCTGGAAAATGTGCTTCGTAGTCTTCTCTCCCAGAGAAAAAGTTACGTAAAGGTTTTTTTTTTTTTTTTTTTAAATTTAAATGACACCCATATCATTGACTTCCAGCCTTTCCCTTTTGTTAGTAAAGAAGAAACAAGTTTCTTCTTCCATACATTCATTCTTGCCTTGAAATGTCTGACACTTCTTAACAGACAATGGCAGTTTTTTTCCTATTGCTGTCTAACTTTGGGGGTTCGCCAGTTTCAAGGAAAGTGACAAATTAATCCATCAGCAATGAATTTATTTCAATTTCCATCTTACTAATATAAAGCAGGAACATGGTAGAAGGGGAAAAAAACCCAAATATTAACACAAATTTGGATTGTTTTTTGTGACTGATGTACTACCAGGTAATTGCCTTTCAAGAGTTTACTGTTTTTCATTTCTAAACTAAAAGAAATCCAGATCGTTTTACAAATCAGTGGTACATACCATGAGTAAAAAAAAAGTCCTAACATTTATTAAATAGAATTTAGCAGAAGAGATAATGTGGGGAAAATAGTATCATTGCTCAAAGGCAAAGCAAAATAGGTTGTTCAGGGAAAATCAGGCCAGAACTCTAGGACTGAAGTTATAGTAGATATATTAGCTTGATTTAGCTGTGTTTCCTATCTATAGTGTTCCGATCCTTCAGAAAATTGCTGATGTTGACGTTGTAATTGAGGATAGGATGATAAGGAAATAGGCTGAAGTAGAGAAACTGAATTCTAGTCTTTCTCTACCAATACATTGCTGTGAAACTCAGGGAAATCAAGTTCCCTCTGTACATTTCAATTTCCCTGTAGCCAAAGTTGTACATACCTACCTTGTCTAGCCCCTAAACTGTTGTGGAGATCAAGTATGTGCATGAAAGAGATTTGAAACATGTTGAGTAATAAACAACTTTAATCGTGTGTGTGTGTGTGTGTGTGTGTGTGTGTGTGTGTGTGTTTGTGTGTGTGTGTGTGTGTACTTATCCTGGTGCTTGAATGCTGGGCCTGGACACTATCCCTGAGCTTTTTTGCTCAAGGCTAGCACTCTACCTCTTGAGCCACAGTGCCATTGCCGGTTTTTTTGGTGGTTAATTGGAGATAATCTCATGGACTTTCCTGCTTGGGCTGGCTTTGAAACTTAAACTTCAGATCTCAGTCTCTCGAGTAGCCAGCATTTCAGGCCTAAGCCACCAGTGCGCAGCTAATTCCTATTTTTTGTAGAGTGTGTTTAGCCTAAGAAATGAGTTTTCCCAATAATTGCCAAGTCTTTATATACTAGTTAAAATAGACAAATAGTATCAATATTTGTCTATATTGTATATGGAACAGCACAAATATGCTCAGCACCTTTAGGGAAATTAGACTATTTTACTATTCTTGGTGTAGAGGGCTGGGCAGGAATGAGTTGTGAGAAGTGAGGAGAGAAATGTGGACAGGGTTCAGTTTGTTTTTCATGGTAAGAATCACGACCTTATCCTCTAACTATGGTCAGGGAAAAAAAGAAATCTCTTTGTGAAGCCCTATGTAGAACAAATACTGATACATTTAACTTTTCTGTGTATACTGTGGAAATAATTTTCCTTGTATATTTGTTTATGTATATATTTTGTATATTTGTCTATATTGTGTATAAACAAATATACAAATATAGCCCTTTGGTATTCAAGTAAAAGAAGCACCTTAAGTTGTGACATTGAATCACTGAAGTGTACAGGAGCATGCACTTCTGAATGAGTTTTGCATTATCTTACTAGATTTTTTTTTTTTTTTTTTTTGCCGGTCATGGGGCCTGAACTCTGGGTCTGGGCAGTGTCCCTCAGCTCTTCAGCTCAAGGCTACTGCTCTACCACTGGAGCCACAGCGCCACTTCCAGCTTTTTCTGTTTATGTGGTGCTGAGGAATCGAACCCAGGGCTTCATGCTTGCAAGGCATGCACTCTACCGCTGAGCTACCTTCCCAGCCCCTATCTTACTAGATTTTGTTCAAACCAAATGAAACTGTGGAGATATCTAACCCTTTCTCCCAGTTTAATTGAGAAAATGGGATAAGATTGTAATTTTGTAATTCCTATAATAATGTTTTGGGAGAGAAATAGGAAACATGAAAAGTGCTCTGACAAGCATGCTGTCTTGTGTAGTTGGCACCTACTTTCTTCTACTCCTACACAGTGGCATCCTGTGCTACAGGCCCAGATCTATGTAGCTTTTCACAAGATATGCAAGTAGGGGGCCTTGATGTATGTGATAAACTTTGATCAGTATAGTCGGAGACTTTGCTTCTTTGCTCGATGATCTGAGTTGTGCTGAAGGAAAATTATTGGGAGGTCCAAAATGGGATCAAGGCCTTCTCCAAACCCAGTTTTAGGCAGTAATATAATGCTAGAGTTTTAAGGGCCTTGTAATGATCTGCTCAGCCAAACCTAGTGGGAGAAGAAGTTGAAGGGGTCATGGAGATTCAGTCAATATCAATTCGTTTGTGTGATCAACTTCAAGAAACAATTCTCCAATCTTTCTGCCTTCCCATTTTGATCTCCAGTCTCCTACCATCTGACATCTGCTCACAATATACCCCTGAAACTGCTGCTACTATTATTAGTTCAATAATAATTTTGGCAGAATACTTTTTTTAGAGTGGTTTTTTTTTCTAGTAGGATTTTGCTCAGGACGTCATGCATGCTAGGGAGGGTGGCTACCAGTTGATCCACATCCCCAGGCCTGTTTTGCTTTTGTAGTGATTTTTATGTAGAACCTTGCATTTTTTTTGTCATGGCTAACCTTGAGCCTGGATCATTTTATTTATGCCTCCCACATAGCAAGGATGACAGGCATGTACCACCATGCCCAGTTTATTGATCTAGATGGAGTCAAACTAGCTCCCCCGACACCCCCTACCCCCCTCACTGGCCTCAAACTGCAATCTCTGCCTCCTGAGTAGCTGGGATTATAAAGTACAGTTGGCAGATACAAATTATATGTCCAAATATGATGATTTACACATACAGTTTGAAACAATCCTGTTTTCACTGGCTATTTTACAGGCTTTCCATGACGTCTTGTTCAGACAGTTCTAATGTAAAGTTCTCCCCTTATGTGTGCTCACAATATACATTTGTTTCATTCTCCAATACTGGGAACTTACATGGTTTAGCAATGATATATATTTCCCTTACCCAAGTCACACACCATCTTAAGCATCTTAAGGACTTCTGTGCCTTAGAATACACTCCACCTCTGAAAAGTTGCTAGACTCTATCTTCCCTCCGTTCTCTCTTCTCCTCTTCTCTTTCCCCTTCTCTTTCTTTCTCACCTGCTTAAGGGTTAACAATTCTAATTTGAAAATGGTTCTCCCTATCTCAGTGAATGTGCCTACTATAGAGAGCATCCATTATAGCCTCCCCTTTCTTAACACGGATTGTTCCCGAATTCTAGTGAACTTCCTCCCTAAAGCTTCTTGATTTTCACCACTTCTCACCACAACCCTGCAAACCTCCGGATCCAGGCCCACACATCCTCTCTTTTGTAGTTTGCTGAACTACACCATCTTAAATGATCTTTCTTACTTTCCTGCCCCACCCTATCTTTCTTTTGCACTGCCAAAAGAACGCTCATTCCAAATTCTTTTGTTGCTGTAGTTTCATTTTTCTACATTTTGCAATTAATTGTACGATGTCGGAGCTGTCATTGTGTTAGTCTCATGCATGCCTATAGTTCCAATCATTTAAAAGACCATGCTTTCAAATCTGCTTTAACCTGGTGAGTGAGACTATCTCAGAATCAAGGAAGCATGTTGACATGTGTCCTGCCATGGTCAATATCAATGCTATTAGCTTCAGAATGCTTTGCTTGTGCTTTTTCCCTCGACCACCCCTCTTCTCCTGCCCTTTCTCTGCCTGGTCTTCTACTCTGATTCAATCAATGGCTACTTTTCCAGTTTCCAAGTTACAACTCCATTTTCTATGTGATTGCATCAGAAGTCCTCTGTAGCAGGACCTTCTTTGCCTATCTCTTACCAGCAGGGAATGGGTTGGCCATTGTGTTAGGCTCTGTTGACAATCTTTAGCTGTGTAACAGATCCAGAAATGACTTTCAAATTCAGTTTTCAAAGTTTTGTAGATGCACGGACTGCAGGAAAGTTCCCTAGAGCAAAAATCAAATATTGACCATCTTTTTCTTATGTTACAGAAAGAATTAATGATGTGTATCATTTCGTTTTTCAAATGTTCTTACACATTTTTTTCCAGTCTCGGTCATCCTCTTCTGTTACTGTTTCTACTATCTAGTAACTGGTAGCAAATGAGTATCAAGGGACAAATTTCTTTAAATGTATTATAGTTCACTAAGTTGTTTGGTGAGTTTTTATTGGTGCAAATTTGCACGTGGTTGTGATTTCATGCAGATAACCTTGAACAGAGTCATAGTTTCTGCAAGGAAAATTATTTTCAGCATATACAAAAGTTAAATTCATCAATATTTGTTCTGTGAAGGGCTTTACAAAGAGATTTTTTTCTCTGACTATATCTGGAAGATTCATCATAGAAGAAAAGGTTCTGATTTTTGCCATGACACAAAAAAACCCACTTTTCTCCCCTCATCTCTCCCAACATATTCCTGTCCAGACCTGTACATCAAACTATGAAGGTAGTCTAATTTCTCCAAATGTATTGGACTTATTCACGCTGCTCCCTATGCATAGACTCCCTATTCTTTCCTCTCGAATCCATCAATATGGATCTTGTCTTAAGACAAGATACCACTTCTGTGCTTAATGTATCATAGTATTTGTCACATCACATCCTATTTGATTTTTTTGTCAGTTATGGGTCTTGAACTCAGGGCTTGAATGTTATCCCTGAGATCTTCAGCTCAAGGTGAGTGTTCTACCATGTGAGCCACAGCGTCACTTCAGGTTTTTTGGTGGTTAATTAGAGAAGAT